TGGTTTACATGTGTAATTTCAATCATGTTTTATAGTTTAAACATCAGTTTTGTTCAGACTCGTATGTGTACTACCTACCCCAAGTTTCCCTCTATGTAACCACTGTTTACCCCAAGTTTCCCTCTATGTAACCACTAACTACCCCAACTCCCCTCTATGTAACCGCTACCTACCCCATGTTTCCTTCCATGTAACCGCTAACTACCCCAAGTTCCCCTCTATGTAACCGCTAACTACCCCAAGTTCCCCTCTATGTAACCGCTAACTACCCCAAGTTCCCCTCTATGTAACCGCTACCTACTCCAAGTTCCCCTCTATGTAACCGCTAACTACCCCAAGTTCCCCTCTATGTAACCGCTAACTACCCCAAGTTCCCTCTATGTAACCACTACCTACCCCATGTTTCCTTCTAACATGGAATCAAACTCCCATGTAACATAGTATTTCTGTTTCAGTTTCAAGTCCTTGTATATGACGATAATGGCCATAGTGAATGTCCAATCAAAACAAAGAACAAAAACTATCACCTTAATTCTTAGTGCGTCTTACCTTTTGTAGAAAATTTCAAGTTGATAAAAAAGCATTAATCATTCACAGGCGGAGAAAGCAAAATCGAAAGTGCATGAGAGACCTACACATAGTAATTCTGTGAATCAGGGGGTATGGCCCCCCAGAAAATGTGGTATTTGTAGATTTCAAATAGAGCAATTCCTAAAATATACATGGTACAATCCAGGTATTTAGCGTATAGTATCATTAAAATACATTAACAAGTATTAACCCCCCACCCCACCCCCACACATACATACACACCTACCTTATTAGTTCTCCTGCCAATGTTGCTTATTTGTTGCACTCATTACAAACTGTTACTATGGGTTGACACCATTAATACAGGTGGCGATAAAAATATACTTTTGTTATTATAATTATAAACCCCCTGTAAACACTTGCATTACCAAAAGTTGCACACCAGAGTGAAAAAGGTTGACTCTCGCCAGACTCTTGTTAGTTGAACTAGTTGTCCTTGTGAGATATAATCGAACTTCAAGAATTCACCTAAAAGGCATCCAGCCACATCTGCTGGTTGTTACACACTTAGATGTGATTTTACAGAAAAAATACCAAAAAGCGTTGAAAATGAAAGTTATTTACAGGGCAATGCAAGAAACTTCTAGAATTGTGTTTTAAATCTGAACAGTTTACTAACGTCTCTGATCGTCTACCACATTTTCCACCTCTTAAAGTAGTCTTCACTCGCTATAGAAAATCGTTACACAAAATTAAGAAACCTGAACAGAATTATGTTCGTCTAAACATACTGGCGAAATAAAACAAGATTCTACTATACATCAAAGTATTAAGAAGGTGTATATACTAAGCTATGGTGGGTCATGCTAATAGTGAAAGATCAATAGGTTTGACAAGTATTAAGAAGGTGTTTATACTACGCTATGGTGGGTCACGCTAATAGTGAAATATCAATAGGTTTTGACAATTATTAAGAAGGTGTATATACTAAGCTATAGTGGGTCATGCTGATATTGAAATATCAATAGGTTTTGACAAGTACTAAGAAGGTGTATATACTAAGCTATGGTGGGTCGCCCTAATATTGAAATATCAATAGGTTTTGACAAGTATTAAGAAGGTGTATACACTAAGCTATGGTGGGTCACGCTAATAGTAAAATATCAATAGGTTTGACAAGTATTAAGAAGGTGTATATACTAAGTTACGGTGGGTCACGCTAATATTGAAATGTCAATAGGTTTTGACAAGTATTAAGAAGGTGTATATACTAAGCTATGGTGGGTCGCGCTAATATTGAAATATCAATAGGTTTTGACAAGTATTAAGAAGGTGTATATACTAAGCTATGGTGGGTCACGCTAATAGTAAAATATCAATAGGTTTGACAAGTATTAAGAAGGTGTATATACTAAGCTATGGTGGATCACGCTAATAGTAAAATATCAATAGGTTTGACAAGTATTAAGAAGGTGTTTATACTATGCTATGGTGGGTCATGCTAATATTGAAATGTCAATAGGTTTTGACAAGTATTAAGAAGGTTTATATACTAAGCTATGGTGGGTCACCCTAATATTGAAATATCAACAGGTTTTGACAAGTATTAAGAAGGTTTATATACTAAGCTATAGTGGGTCACGCTAATAGTGAAAGATCAATAGGTTTGACAAGTATTAAGAAGGTTTATATACTAAGCTATGGTGGATC